TCCATCAGCTGCAAGAAAAATGCAGGAGAAAAGAACAATCAGCGGCGATATGAAGAAGGGTGGTAATGTTTGAAAAACACATTAGCTGTTAGGAGTCTGATAGAGACATTTACCTGCACATCCTCAACCAACGTCCTCAGTATGATATCAACCTCACAAATAAATATCTCACAAGCAATAAAAGGAAGCCTATATTGTAGAACACATTCAACAAACAAATCAAATAGTAAAAGCATTCTAGCAAAACCTAAAAAGACAAAAAGATTATTGCTCACTTGAAAACATGCTTGTTATCAGCACCCTCAGGAGGCTCCTCTACAATATATCGAAGCAGTCGCTCCACTTGGGACTTCTCTCTCAAACTACACATGAAAGGATTTCAAAACAACAAGAAAATAAAACATAAAAAAAGGTATCAAAGTGAAAGTTTTGACTCATGAAATTGACTAAGTTCCAGATTCAATAATAGATATATTTGCATCTCATGTTTGACCATACAGGCTGATGGTTTACCAGCATAATCTTACACTATATACCAACCATATCAAAGTACACCAATATATGAAACAACTTCTATGTAATTTTCCTAGTGATCCAAAATTGGGGTGGTCTCCAGTATGGGGTAGTATATAAATCCTTGAACAAAAGTAAAAGAAAGGTCCCAATTATTTGGTAACTTTTACAGGAACTTTTCACGGCACTGAGTTCTGATAAAGGCAATATCATTATTTTCAAGAAATATATAATAGAAGCATTTTAAAATTTAAAAATAGTTTCATCTCCAAGTGTATCATTTATCTCAAGCTCTGGTCCACATTACAAAACCCCCCCCCCACCCCCAATGTTATCCTTTCTATGCATCTTCGTCAGATGCTTTGTTGGAGTATGCATTTGAGATACCCTCAGAAATAAATGGTTACCTTTTCTATGCATCTTTGTCAGGCAAAGAAGAAACAACAGGCAAATAATTCTAATGGTTACCCTTTCTATGCATCTTCGTCAGGTGATTTGTTGGAGTATGCACTTGAGATACTAACAGAAATAAATGGAAACATCAGTACTAATTATAACAAACAAGATAGAATGTTGTCTGTGATGGCTGAAAACATGCATAAATATTTTTAAGAATGCATTTGCTGTTATTATTTGTCACATGAGTTTGTAGAACTGTTATATGTGTAATTTGTGATCCTTCTTAATAATTACTTGTATTACTTAAGCAGTCACCTAAAAGGAGAAGGGCAGGAACTAGGGTCCTAGGCCCCATCTAGGTTCTTGAGCAGCCACTTGGACTTGGACCTTTGAAACAAAGCTCTTTGCCTGTTGTTCATAATAAATATTAATCATTGTTGAATTGGATGTTTTGACTTTCCAGTATGCTTATTTCCTCAGCTCATGTATTAGAATTATTTTATCTATCTTACATGTGTGGATTTCATCCTGAATGTCACTTTTATGTCTTATTCTTGACCATTTTGGACATGAACCATTTGGGTGCCTGATATCTTAAACTTTTCAGCTGGTATTCTCATCATCAGCCACAGTTTATGGATCACCCAAGGAAGTGCCTTGCACAGAATGTCACACTTAGGCTCCTAATCCGTTTCATGGAAATATTTTCTAAATTGTGAAAATTTTATTGATAAAATCCACCATCTTGGTTCTCCATTATTTTTCATAAGTAGTCACCAATACACTGTAAACATGTACAACTCAATATATAAAGCATTCCAACACCCTTTGCTTCTGCTATGTCTGTCTGGTGAATTGTTCTCATATCTCAATAGGTCTAATAGTTCGAACATTGTTTCCTTTTCTCCTGTTTTAGTTTGACCAATGTTACTTTTCTCCTGTTTTTATGTTTTTGCTTATTTTTCAACAGGCGAATCATTGGATTTTCTTTTGTATGTTTGAGAGTTTCTATTGCCCTGCAGTAAAGGGGACACACAAACATACAATCAGCATTATTGCTAATGTAGTTATTCAAATTCAGTCAAAGATGTTCAAATTTCAAAATAACTTCCCAAATTTCAACTTCAATTGGTTTTGTAATAGTCGTAGCTTCTACGTGGCTAACTAATAAACAAACAGTTTGTTGATATAGAAAAGCATATATCAAAGAATTTTAGTCACTCCTTCAACACCAGATAATGAATGAGTTTATTTTCCGAAGGCACTAATAAAACTCTTAAGTTACTTTCTTTTCTCTAATATGCAGGAGCATAGAATTAGAAGTAAATATGTACTTTCTTAACATAAATCAAGCAATCAGGACAAGAATAAAACAAACTATTACAAATTTATAAGACGCGTATTCAGTGCTTTGCATTCTTGAATAATTTCATCCTCATCAAGAAGCTCTTCCAGAGTAAAGTTTTCCTTCTCCAAAATAGCATCCACCTGAAACAATGTAGGAACTAGAATAAGCAAAATGCATGATGTTTTTGTGCGAATAATGCACCAATAGTCGATGAAGCTAACCTAGAGGAGAAACAAGTTAAGTAAATCTGCATGTCAGTTGATTTGTGACTGCATAAAAAGATAAATATCGCCAAGAAAGTAAACACAAAGAGTATAAACAACAACAGGCACAGTTTGCAAATTCTCATGGTGAGAAAATGTGAATAGAAGCGAACACCAGTCAGCTGTCACAGTCCTTGTGGGTTGTAATTGTGGATACACAGTCTAAAGGTATATAATATATATAGAAATGCATCATGAATTTGTTGACGGAGAGAATAATTCTTAAAATTCAAGCAGTATGATCACCAAAATCAAAATGACAAATCCTTTAACTGTTATCATTTTAATGTATCGGACTTATTTCTCGAGTGATAAAATGAAGCGCTGGGACCATGATGCGTCGTTCTCCGTCACTAGCTTCATCGTGTTCTCAGATTCAGACGTAAAGAAGCAAAGGAAGAGAAAGGAGCATAACGTGCAAGCCTAAATTCCAGTATAGAACAAAGCTGTAGGAAAGACCAAATAGTAGCGTAATGGACGATATGACGGAGCAAACCCCAAAAGGTAACAAAAAGAAGACGAAAAAACCACATCCAAGAACACGGGAAGACTTACAGGAGACGCTTGGGTGAATCCAGTCATGCGCCAGAACATCTTGACGGCCCTTAATCAAAAGATCCCAACAGCCTCCCCGGACGCCCCAACCCTCAGATCTAGGGTTCCCAGTACCAAACCCCACCCTCCAATCCGCCTCCCGCAACCCCAAGAACTCCAAGAAAACCCGAGAAACAGGAGCAAAACCCTATGGTCTCGATCCTGGCGCCCCCGATCGTCTCCTCACCGGGTCCTCCTCGACGGGGAAGCAGATCGAATAGCGGAGAGAAACGACGACCCGACAAAAGGAACGCCAAGTAAATTGATCGGCGGAGGGGGATCGAGCTCGAGCGGGCTCGAGACGAGGAGAGGACCGGAAAAGCGTGCGGAGGGACGGGACGGGCGAAGCCTTCAATCGCGGGACGGAGTGTTCCGGATGAACAATAGAGGTGTCTTGGTAGGATGTGTGGGCGGATCGGCTGTTATAATTACACTGCTGCGGCCTACTGCAGCTTAAATAAATGCATCGAATGCTTTTTTATTATTATTATTATTATTACTACTACTGGGGTGGAGGAAGTTGACAGTTTGTATATGAGCCAATAATTGACGTCGGTAGCATATAGATGATAATTTTAGGGATAGGCATTGATTTATATGGCAATTTCATGGGGATTGCTTGGAAAATGATGAGACATATTGTCAAATAATTTTCATTTCGGTAGAAAATAATTAAAATTGTTTATGTCTTTTCAAAGGTTGGTAGGGGTGATTTTTGAGAGATCTGGTTTAGGTTGTGAAAGAAATGTTAATGAGATATTAAAAGGAAATTATAAATATTTAGTATGATTAATATTTAAGATTTATGTCTCGTTTGAGGAAATATTAATACGAGGCATCAAAAACTTTCCATTTGACGCCTAACACAAATTATTTGTGATGTGGTTCTCTATGATTTCTCTTGTACTGATGCAAAAAGGAATAAAACAACGCAATAGAGGTGTTTAGGAACGTATTGGTGGGATGCCAACATCCAAAGAGCATTACATGGAGATCGAGGCGTAGAATATTCGTTAGTCAAAATTCATCATTGTTGTTTTTAATTTGTTCTTCTCATCCCATATTTTTTTCTATGAATGTGCTGTTTTTCTAATGTTTTACTTGCACATTTCATGGTGTGCTGGTCAACGAATTAATTTGAATTAGTAATGCATTGTTTCATAGTGCATGCACGCATGAAACATGATTACACGGTTGTGATGTTTTCAACCATCGATTGCATTATGTAAAACATTCAAAGGGTGTGTGCAAGTTTGTTTCTCAACGTTTTGGGTTGAAAATATCTTATAAAGATTCAAAAGGATCACTTGGACACACTTTTCTACCAAAAAAATAAAAAGCTTTGCATTGAAAAATAGTGTTTGTATTGTATTTTCTGTGCTTTTCTCAAGTGAAAAGATAGCAATTTACAATTTGATTTTTTGCTTTATAAAATAATATATTTATAATGATAATAATAAAATATTAAATTAAAATTGATTAAGATTCATATTCATAAGATCTGATATACTAATCCTCTATCATTTTTATCGAAACTCAGGACTAACATTGACAGTGTTTATAAATATGTTTATGAATATGATTATAAATTTATTGAATATGTTTCATGATTATAAATATGACTATAAATTTATTATAGTCATATTCGAGTGTGACTTTGATTGTTCATGTTACACATAAGAGAGATATTTCGAATAATTTTAATTTTGTGCATAGTTAGCAATATCATTAGTATAGGAGAAAATTCCACTTGTTAATTCTTTTATACTCTCACCTAAACTTCCATAGTTGAGAGTTCAAACCTGCAAAAATAAAGAACCAAACCTTTGTTCTCTATGGCCAAATATTTTTCATAGGTGAGATTTGATGTGCCCCTGAAAAGAAAAAATATCCATGGTTTTAGTGGGAGGCATTTACTTCATGTTGCATAAGCATAGAAAAAGTACAATCATGTTAGGTAATACAGTGCTTGGATAATGAGAGTAGAGAAGGAACTAATCATTCGATTATAATTTAGATTGGAAAACACAGAGCTATATGAAAGAGGATAGGAGAGATGCACTTCACATATCAAAAGATTAAACATCAACTGATTTGTTTTTGACAGCTCCCACTTGAAACAATCTTTTAGCTGTTATGCTCACCAAGTTATCCTTGCATTTGTGCCCCAACTGCTGCTGGTTCTACCTGCAACAGTAGCTTAGTTCTTACTCACAAGCAAACAAGAATAACCCAAGGCATGGTTCTTGATGCACAGGATCAGAAACAAAAAGACTGATAAAATGAAAAGGAGCCAGTTGTTGGTGTCATATCGATAATACACAACTCATCTATAATTATAGATGAGTTGTGTATTATCGATATGATACCAAACTGCAAGACATTGCCATTCTTAAAACAACATCAATTAGAACTCGGTATATCATAAACACCAGAAAAGGAGAAAATAAGAAACATAAATAAAAAGAAGCATAATCAGATCATGCTAGAAGGTGTCGAACAACCAAAACAAAATTAACAATCTCACACTACATTTCTCATCATCGTATCTTGCTACATCACTTGGGTTTTCACAAAATTAACAATCTCACACTACATTTCTCATCCTCATATCTTGCTACATCACTTGGGTTTTCAATTGATGCACAATTACAGTCACTCAATGTCTCCAAAGTATTAACAATATCTGGACTAACCACATTTCAGTATGAAAATAAATTCCAAGAGTGACAGACTTCAGTTTTTGAGATATTTATAAACTAGGAGAAATGTATAACCAGTACATAGTTAAGAAATGCAGTCTGTACAGACCAGTATGTGGAAGGCAACAAAACTAAGAACTCTTATTACATTATGTGCAGTGATCTAATTAAACAGGGCCAACATGATATTCTAATATGAACAAAGATTAGGAATGAAAATAACCTGCCCCAGTCCCCCAAGACTTGTCCAGCACCAGCAGCATGGGCTTCCTTTCCATCCTCCTCAATGAACCTGCCTGGAATTAATATGCAGCCATGGGGCTTTCCCATTGTACCACACCACTAGTTCCCACTGCAATAGCTTCATTTCTGATGAAGAAAATGACATAATTAAAAAAACATATTCAGATTTAAATTTAGGCACGACTCCTATATTTGATTCAAAAGTGAAACAAAGAATATTAGTGCTTCTATCAAAATCAAAATAATCATAAAAATTCAACAAGACCCTCAAACACTCAAAAAGTTTGAAGATACAATGTCAAAGTCTAATTCTAGTGGTCACTTGTGGTTAGTAGGACAGTCCATCATGCTGACTGACTTGGATTGAAGCAGACCATGCCAAAAAGGCATCACAAATGCCAAGTTGACATGTACCAGAGGCATCAGGTTGAATGTGAAATTAGGCTGCTTGTGGCAGTCTCGAGCTTTGATTAGGAAGAGACTGATAACTTAAAATGGATGGTGCACCTGTCAAGAGGAAATCCTTTCTTTGAAATGGAAGTAGGACTTTGCAAGATCATAGGACCACTTTGCGAATATGAAATGATAAAGCGCCATCAAACTTAAAAACCTAAAGCTCAAAACCTCAATACCTTATTTGCCAACAATACAAACTAGACAATGGTTATTTCAGGAAATAAGTTAGTCAGAGATGGTCAAATTTTCTGGCACACCATTCAAATGAAATTTACAATTCTTTCAAAAAAGCATCTCTTCCATATCTTTTCAGAAATCTAACTTATATTAGTGTCTAAGAATATTTTCTGTAGGATGATTCCCTCCAGAAACAGCTAGGCATTGAGTCTGAGCAGCTTGACGGCTATAGCATGCCTTTAAAAGATCTTGAGCTTAACAACTACACAAAATTCTGTCTATTTAAGCCTTCTCCTGAGGTTTTATTATACACTTGTTTTTCGTTATATCTTAAAAAAACCAGGAATCACTCTTTGGGAAAGCGTAAAGGGACTGAACTTGTAATTTTAAGCTAAACAAAGTTAAAAAGAAGAACATTGGAGATCTGAGTGATCTCCCAATATCATCAAACAATCTTCTAAAAAGGATCCAAAATTATCAAATGCTCCTTCAAAATCCAAGCATATTGTTGCCAGACCTTCTCTCATATACGAGACGTTTACCACATTGGGTTAGAGGCCCTAGTCGAAGCTTCAGCATTTGCCAACTTACTTGATTCCTATCTGATCACCAAGTAGAAAGCAGACAACTGCAACCGAAAGCAAGCTCCTGCTATAGTGATCTGTCAGAGAAAGCTTTTCGTCTATTCGATTCTTTAAAAGTCTCTTTCCTATCATGAAGGGCAAACGATGCTTCCTTCCTCCCTTATCACAATCAAGAAACGAAGAAGAGTAGAAGCGATACCTCCGACGGAATTGAGGTTCGAGCAGCCATCGACGGCACGGGAAAGGATGGGCGAGGGTTCAGGCAGAGGCCCGGCAATGGGCATCGCCTCCGGCTCGCCAGTCTACCTTCCAAATAAATAGAAGGCGGAAGAGATGAAAAAGATTCTAAGAGCTATTCCCAAATTCACGTGAAATACAATCAAACATAAGACCAAATTTATGTGAGAAATTAGGTAAAAAACACGGGATAAATTATAAATAATCTATATAAATAATAAATACATAATTCTCAAAATAAAATAATTAGAATATAAAAATTATATAATATCCAAAATCTATCTCAAGTAATTATAGGAAAAATCTACTGTGATATAAGGTGAGATGCATTATCTTGTGTTCTTCTTTTTTTTTCTCTTATTTTTTATTTTTTTTCTCTTTTTGAATCACGTTTCTGTTGTAGTTTTTTTTGCTCTTGTTACTACAATTTTCTACCCCTTTTTCACAGCTACCACACCTTCCTTATTTGATTTAGCTTTAGGTTAATAAGAAAAGTGAGTTATGGGCTATTAAAGCTCACTATGGACTGAACTAATGGATTGCAACTGCTTCTCTTCGAGTACATTTCGAAACTAGTGGTATTTGACATTTATATGCTTTGACTTAGAATGAAAAGTTAAGTTCTTTCACAAATGAATGGTGTTGTCATGACATAGCTCCCCCTACAAAAGTAAATAAAAAACTTGATGTGAATTCTTTTATATCTATATCTCTTGATATATCTGTATTTGTATAACTTGTCAGCATAGGTGGTTCACATTGAAAGCTTAAATAAACTTTAGAGTTCCCTTTGAGATATCTAAGGATCTACTTCACTATTGCCCATTGCTCTTTGCTTAGATTTGCAAGAAATCTACTAGTTACACCTATTGCATATTTGATGTTTGACCTCGTACATACTATTACATATATTAAATTTTCAATTATTGAAGCATAAGGAATTTTTTGCATTTCTCATTCTTCTCATTACTTGATGAACTTTATTCTGAGCATAACTTGAAGTGACCTAAAAGATGATAACCAACTGGTTTTACATTGATCACACTAAACCAACTGACTTTACATTGCTCACACTAAACCTTTCAAATATCTTTTTGATAAATTTCTTATGTGACAATCAAATCTTCTTATTTTTTCTGTCACATGAAATCTACATGCCCAATATTTACTTTGTTGGCCTCATATCCTTCATCGTAAAAGACTCACTCAGTTCTTTCTTCAATCTATCAATTGTAAACATATCTTTCCCAATAATAAGCATGTCATCAATATAAAATAAGAGAATAATAAAATTATCACTAAACTGTTTGATGTACACATAATGATCTGAAGTTATTCTTTTATATCCATTTTCAGTTATAAATGAATTAAACTTTCTATATCACTATCTTGGAGCTTGCTTCGACCCATATAAGCTCTTCCTCAACTTGCAAATAAATTTTTTTTGAAACTTTCTAGTTGCTCCATATAAATTTTATCTTTCAAATCACCATGAAGGAAAGTTTAATTCACATCCAACTACTCAACATCTAAGTCTAGGCTAGTAGCAATATCAAGAGCAATACGAATAGAAGATATTTTAATAATAAGAGAAAAAATCTCTTCAAAGTCAATATATTTTCTTTGACCAAAGCCTTTCATAACCAATATAATTTTGTACTTTGGTTGAGAATAATATTCTTGAGTATTCAACCTGAAAACTCATTTGTTCTTCAAGACCTTCATTCTCTTTAGTAGTTGCACCAAATCATATGTGTGGTTCTTGTGCAGAGCATCCATCTTTTCCTACATAGCAACTAACCAATTTTTTTCTGCTCACTTTCAACTAAGCATTACATATCTTTTGGAAGGTTGACATTGTCTAAAAAGTATTCTCAATTGAGGTTTTATGAGAAGTTGCTCTTCAACTTTTTCTTGCTCAACATATCCTATAGGTATATCAACATCGGGTTGTACATAATCTTTTTGCACATCTCCCCATCACCTTAAAACACTAGAGGAGTAACTAAGTCACAATCTGAAGTCTTGGCTGGTGCCTCCTTCTTCAAATCCTTAAGGGTTTGATTATCAAAGAAGATCACATCTCTGCTTCTAAACATCTTTTGCTTTTCTGAATCACAAAGCATATAACCAAACTGATCATGTGAGTAGTCAAGAAAAATACATTCTTTTGTCTTACCATCTAACTTAGACCTCTTATTATCGGGAATGTGATAAATGCATGACAACCAAATACTCTCAAATGCTTATAGAAAACATATTTTCTTTACCATATATACTCTACAACATCATAATCTAAGGTTGTATAGGGTGATAAGTTGATCACATCAACTGTAGTCCTCAAAGCCTTATCCCAAAATATTTTGGGTAGCTTGGCCTGTGAAAGTATATATTTAATATTTTCCATAATAGTGCGGTTCATTATCTCTGCAATTGCAGCTGAGGTGTACTAGAAAATGTCATCTCATGTTGGATGTTATGTGACCTGTAATAATCATCTAACAATCATGTGTATAATCATTTGTATTTCAATTGTTTTTTTTATCTCCCTTTCAACTTTGACATGAAAGTCTTTGAGTATATTAATAACATGAAAGACTCAAACTTTTCTAAAAAAAACCATATATACAAATGATAAAATAAAGTATATTACTAATACCACAAACATTAATAGATCTACTATAAGTTTTTATATTTAAAGGACTACGTACATATATATATAAACATAATCAAATATATGTATTTTTCTAGATAAAGCAGGATTAACAAATGAAACTCTATATTGTTTCTCAACTAAACAATAAATACAAGGGTTCAGATGTGTACCTCTGAGCTCTGATAATACCTCTCTTTTGGAAAGAGCTTATAGCTTACCAGTTCTTTCTTGCTTATATGTCCTAATCGCTTATGACATAAATTTATATTAAAAATTTTCTCTGTAGAATTTAACTGTTCACCATAAGTTTTAACATACAACCAAGATCTTCAATTTTGAATAATACCGTTCGATACGAGCGATACATACCCGTCCATCAACATATCGAACCATCTTGTATCAAATTATATATATATATAAAATAAAAGGCGTCGCTAAGTCCTTTGGGACGGCAAAGGGATCGAATGCAATGGCGTCGAACGCATTGGTCGTGGAGACGAACGTAAAATGAACAGACTTCGTTTCGATGGGGCCCAGAAAGTGAATGGCACTTCACGTCCGAAGAAGTATTGCACGCAAACTTTCTCCTCCAACTGGTGGACTCTCATTGGTGGTCATGGACTGAAACGTTGGCCCTCCTAATCTGAACAGAGCGGGAGACTGTTTCGGGGTCGAAAAGTGGGGACATGTATATCCAAATAATTTTTAGATAAAATTTAAGCTCCGTGTCAGCCATTCTATTTGTCACGGTCCGATCAGCCATGCAACGGGGAGTGGTTTGTCACCGCACGGGCAAGTCATGTGCGAACCAAGCCGTTGCCCATCGAGCGCTCAAGGAGCACGCCATCGACCCACGGCCGAGCCCTGGCGACGGGCTTAGGGTTTGCTATAAATCTCCAGAATCCATTTCGATCTCCGCCTCTCCCGTTCTTCCTCACTGTTACTCCTCGCGGAAGGAGCTTGTGGGGAGAAATCGGGCTTTAGACCGTAAGAGGAGGAACGCTCGACACTAAAACCCTCTCGTAATGCCTCCCAAGGCCGCAAAGTCGAAGGATGCCGTCACGGAGCGGCCGATCCTCGGGCGATTCTCATCTCATCTGAAGATTGGAATCGTAAGATCTGAATCGTTCCGATAAAATTCCTGCTTAAGGACCTCTGGTTAATTCTTCGTTTCTTTGTCACTGACTTCATCGCCGTATTTCATAATGAGGATTTCGGTTTGATTTCACCGATGGAACCTCAGTTTGGCTGTTAATTCTTTTTTCTTTTTCAAGAAAGGTGGGATTTCTGGAGAGGTTTTGGACTTCAACGCTCTTGTTCCATGATTTAAAACTGTTCCCTTTCTTATGTAAAAAAAAGCTTATTAGAATTCTCTTGAAGTCCACTCGAAATGGGTACTAATATATTGCCAAGCAGCTTTTTGAAGAATTATTTTTTCATTGTTTTAAGATAGGATGTTCTAGAAGGATGCAATCTTAGCAAAGCTTTGCCTCATCTTGTTCTATGGTTGGGTTGTGTTCTTAAAGGATCTTCAGTTTTAGAACCGTTCTTTGACATATCAATTACTGAACTGTAGCAATCAAAGCTTTAACATGTTAAACAAACCATGTTACTTAAGAATACGTACATGGATTAATTTGCCTATTTGATGTCTGTTTCTGAAAAACACTTTTAACCGTCATTTTCTTTTAATGGTCTTCAAGAATTACAGAGTTGTTTACATTGCTTACTCCTTAAAGCTACTCTGCTTTTTATTTAACTGGAACCGCTCAGGTTTCCCTAGCGTCGTGTGTTATGTACTAGGCACTCAATGAGATATATTTGCAATTGCAGGTTGGGTTACCAAATGTTGGCAAATCCACTCTATTTAATACACTGACGAAATTGTCAATCCCAGCTGAGAACTTCCCTTTCTGTACCATAGAGCCTAATGAAGCAAGAGTCAATGTTCCTGATGAGCGCTTTGATTGGCTTAGCCAATTATACAAGCCAAAGAGCGAGGTTTGCTTTTCCTGTATTTGTTGTTGAAAAGCTTATACAGGCTTGCCCCATTGAAGATATCAAAAACCACTTTGATTGTAGCAAGCATCTGAATAACTTCACCAAATAATGTAGAAGTGTTGAGATTGCATAATTAGTATGTTTACATATTGATCTATTCTGTAAAAGCATCAAATCACAATATCCAGAAGGGAAGGAAGCAATGTGCTGTGTACATGTCAAGTGCTTAATAAAAAAAAGGCTAGAACTGTGAGATAATTGACACAAAATGCATCACTAACTCTATAAATCATGAAACATTATGTGTGCCTCTGGGTGGTCAGCACTATATTGTGCTAAGAAAGTCCCTTCAATGTGCATTATAGCTCTCCACAGTCCTAAACTGCCCTATGTATTTTATATTTCTTTTGTTGATTGCGTGTAAA